TATTCGAAGTGCGAGAAGGTAAAATGTGTCAAGAACTCAATTTGCTTTTTTCTCAACTTTGGATGGCGTTTCAAGACTGTTGGTTTTACTCAAGCGGCTAATATGTTTTTACAGTGCAGTAGGAAATGTTATGGACCATTTTTATTGGCAGTGATTTTTAGGTTTTATTGTTATTTTCGCATATAGCAAACTTGCTCCCTGGAGCAATTTTGCCTTCAATTGGAAATAATCCCGTAAGAGAACCGTTAAAGATAATTACATAAAACAAGTACCAGTACATGGCTAAGATTGTAAGCTATCTGGTGGTGTAAACTTTTGTCTTGGTATTGCTTGCGAAAAAAAAAATTTATATCTAGGTCCAAACTTGTTTCAATTCTCTAATTTAATTTTTTTTTTAAGTCGATGTTCCAAGAAACGCCATATTTTATTTTCTTCTAATTTTTTTACTTGATAGCCCATAAGGCCTAGAAATACTGCATATAAGTCTTAAGAGTAACTTTTTTATATTTCGGTGGCAACCGGTTAAATAAGCTAATTTTAGAGCTGTCACTCAATCCTTAGTTCAACTATACTGGCTTTACTGCAATGCTACTGGCGGCCTGAATAATTACAGATGTCTTTGCAAAGCTGCTTTACCAAGATTTATTTGATGTTATATATGCTCATAACAACTCCTGAAATATCAGAGGGACTAATATTTGGCTGTTATAACAACAATAGGATGCTGTTTTCAGAGGTACAGCAGGGTCGTCATTACTGGTTGTTCTAAACCCTCTTTTCAACGAATGAGTCAATACTTCAGAACTATCGTTCTGGTTAATACCTTAATTATGTTTATCCTGCATTAAAAAAAAGATTTCATTTTGAGTGCTTTGTATGTCTTCGTCGCTTGTTCTCGTGGCAACATTCGTCCTGTTTGGTTTTGCCAGCCTCATAAAAGGAGATACAATAAAATGAAATGAACTCTGTCGTGCTAGAAGTCGTTCATTGATGTATTTTAAAGGAGTACGCTCATGTGAAAACAGACACAAGTGATATCTGATACATCCGTTAGGCACTTGTTCGCTTGCCAAGGTATATTGAATTGCGGGGAATACCTCGCGTCGGGCGCCAAATAGGTGCTTGGCCTGCAATTGTGGAAAGCAGTCTAACGAAGCGCGGTTTCAAGGCCACGCGGAGAGCTTTGAGAATTGGAACTTTGTACTTAAATAGAGATATCTTGCACTCTTCAGCTTTCTTTTTAAATAGCGCCACTTTTACGTAGGATGGATCGACGAATACGTACGGCTTACCCCTTCTGAATAGGGTGGCGGCTTCCTCCACCTAGCGTCCACTTCAGCAACCTCCCGTTTCGTGTTGTTTAGATTGCTACTATACTTCGTTTCAGCTGAGGTCCGAGCGCGGCAGATGTTATGAGCCGAAGGGCCAATCAAACAGCGAAAGAGCCACAACGTCATGGCGTGCTTTCTGCAGTTGATAGGACCAGCCGGCATTCGCCGTCTTTCTGTGCGTTCTCCTCCGCCAGAACGCCATGACGTTGCGCTTTTTGCGTTGTTTGATTCGCCCTTCAGCTCGTAACATCGGCCGCGCTCGGACCAAAGGATTTGCGTTCGAGTGTGATTGAGTGCGTTGCAACCCTTGGTTGCAACCGCTTACGACGAGAGAACACCCGGAACACTGGCGCCATCTACCGGACAGGCCTTCAGCACTTGAGAACTGCGTGTAACTAACTAGGCATTTTCGAGATCTAGTCTACGCACTATCCATGAGAAGTGGTCGCTCGTAACATTGTCAATAATATTTCAAGCCCCTAGTAAAAGAAGCCTGCATAAAAAAAAAGAGAAAATACACTCTGATAAAAAGGGTTCCAAAGCTCTCCGACACTTGGCGTCAGTGTGCGAGCGGTCACAACGCAGCCGGTTCCAGTCAACACATGTGCGTGGAAGAGCCTTCAGGCACTAAAGACGGTCTAGTCTCAGCATCGTGCTAGTGGTCGATTGCGTACGTCGCGTAAATTTATGTACACGCGACGGACTGGTCCAGATTGGTTCTTTCGCCGCGTCCGACCTTGCAGACGCGCGAGACAGACTTTCTTTTTTTTTTTTTTTTTGCTGCTGGCGTTTGCTTGCCCGACGGATGTCTGGGGATTTCCTGCGCGCGTGGTGGATGTGCGTTCGTTGCGATAGCGGCGCGGGGAGGTCGGTTTCGCGAGCCACCAGGAACTGTCGCTGCCGTTGCCTCGCAATCTCGAAACGCTCTGCGGGTTTTTGATACGGGATTGAGGCTTGCCGTGGAGGTTCAGTCGACGTTTCAGTGGTCGGACTGTCACTCACCTGAGCTCGTGCGTGACGCGTGTACGAGGTAACTTCTCCGAGCGACACGAAGTTGATTTATAGCGTAATTTTGATGAAAGGGATTACCGGAAGCTTGGAGACTGGAAATATTTTGCTGCTAGACGAATGCCTTTCTTTCCCGAGTACGACTATACTTTAAGGCTAGGTTCTGGTCGAATCCGCAAATTTAGGGGGAGCGATTTTTCTCTGGATTCGATAGCAGATCGGGAGGCGGAGCAGCCGCTTGAAAATGTCAATCGGAAGTCATACGTGTTGATCCAGTATCACCTCGAAGACAAGGCCTTGCGCACGACGTCACTGCTAGTGGACCCCCGACCCGCCCCAAGCAGCAAACAACCTGAAGCTCAAAGTGTAGGCATTGTCTGCTAGGTGGTGTAGGTTGGTCCCGACTACCCAATAGCAAACGCGCGGTCAGAAAAAGAAAGAAAAAAAGGCTATTTTGGAGCGCGCAAAAAGAACGGTTAAAAGTCGCCATTAGAAAAAAAAAATTAAACTGTAATATGAAAATTATGCTGAAAAAATTTTCAGCTACCAAACAAAGTCGGTGTTTATAAGGCAATTAATGCAAAGGTGCAAGCAGGCATGACAAGATTGATAATAATAATCCCCGGAGAAGGGGAACAAGAGGGACAAAGGACAAACGGAAATCTCCAAACACAGCTAGTCGACTGGTGCGCGACCGGAAAAATCCGTCTGGTTTTGGCATCGAACCAGGGACCTCTCCTTTTCCAGTGGAGCGCTCTACCAACTGAGCAAACAAGGAGTTAGACGTCAGTAGAGCAAGCGGGTTTTATCAGCTGCCACCAGTCTAACACCAACAAGGATGAACGGCCCGCATTTTAAGGTTATGATTATAATACGGACCTCTTTTTAAGACCATTATTATAATGCTTGTACCTTTGCATTTTTGCATTACAATAATAACCTTCAAATGCAGGCCGTTCATCCTTGTTGGTGTTAGGCTAATGGCAGCTGATAAAACCCGTTTGCTCTACTGACGTCTAACTCCTTGTTTGCTCAGTTGGTAGGATCGCTCCTCTGGAAAAGGAGAGAGAGGTCCCTGATTCGATACCAGGACCAGGCGGATTTTGTCGGTCGCGCACCAGTCACCTAGCTGTGTTTGGAGATTTGTGTTTGTCCTTTGACCCCTTTGTTCCCCTTCTCCAGGGATTATTATTGTCAATGTTAGTGTCAATCATTGGGACGTTTCCGATTTCAGTATCAGCTCCAGAGGAAGTAACCGGCGCGGATGGGAGAAAGTAGGCAATTCTCCACGCCTATTTTACACGGCTAATAAAAAAAAAATAAAAAAAAATGGGAGGGGAGGAACGGTGGTGGTGGTTATAGGGAGGGGGAGGGGGAGATATTTTTCCCTTTCTTTCCTGTATTCTTTGCTTTGAAGTTTTTAAATATATGAGAGGAAGAAGTAGGGAGTGGGGGAAGCCCCCTCCTGACCTCACCCGCTCCCCTGTTGGGACAGAAGTTGAATCGTACAGCCGTGTGTTCTGTCGATTGAGGCGTTCGTCGAACCTCAAAGATAGAATCCGTTTCTGTTGTCTTCCTTATCGATGCTGTTATTTCATCGTACCCCATTGTTTTGGGACATCGCTTACGAATAAACGTCAAGGAAAGTTTATGGCGGCCTTGGATGGATGCGCAACGTGCTGCAAGATGCCAAGAAACGTGTCTCAACCACGGCGTCGCCTTTTCTAATTTCCTTTGTGAGAGACAGGGACCGAGTTTTTTCTCTCTACAAAGAAGAGACTGCGAAGTCAGCGTCATCGCTTTCTTCCTCTTTGTTTGACACCTTTTTCTTTTTTTTTTTTTGTATAATTCTCCCATTAGTGCAATCACGAGCTTTCTTCATTGTTCGTCGCAGTTGCGCAATATGTTGTGATATTGCCGCCTGCGTGGCCTAGTCGACAAGGCACGCTGCTAACCTCGAGATGGGCTTCGGGAATGAGCAATCAACGTTTTGTTTACTGTGGTAACATGTGGCTTTCGTGGTACACACCATAATTGGAAAGTAAAACGTATGCCGCGAAAGATAAACACTATATAGTTTCCATCAGCTCAAAGCTAGCTGTCTTAAAGAAATAGTAAACAACTGAAAATAATGCAAGAACATACAAAACCCCAGGAAGGAAGCAAAAATAGTGCAAAAGGGGCGTCGAGTCGTTTAATTGTAAATGAGCTTGAATATTGTCATTACTAAAGAGTTGTCTGACCTGAAATCTCTAGTTACCCTTTTCCTCTCCAAAGAGCCAGAATGTACCTAAACCAGAGCCTGTATTCCATCTCACCCTAAAATAGTCTACAGTCAATGCTGCAAGACGCTAGGTCAAATTACAAACCCGTTAGAAATCCCACTCTATATTGCTGAAATAATTCAATGTATGTATCAGTGCTTGCAGACGCGCCCACTCATATGCACGTTGGAGCAATATACAATGTGGCTCCTACCTGGATCGTGATTGACACTTGGTGGCTTTTGCATGTGGTTTTGGCAGTGTGAGACAAAGTATCGTTTTATTAAAAACTATGGAAGGAAGGGAAGGGAGTGGGGAGGTCCCTTTTATGTTTTGAACTGGGTCATTGTGTCTGTTAATCCAGCCCTATGACCAAGCGATATCTTTGTCTGTGCAGGACTAAGCTCTGGAGTGTCCCAGTTCTCGCCTCCAAAGTTGGACTTGGAAGGTCCCTACGTGGACATTCCCGCAAACAGCACGCTGCGCATCACATGCACCGGAAGGCATCCTCTTCTGTGGTCTCTTCCAGAAACTGGAGTAAGTTTGGGTGAAAATGTCACGATTTAAACAAGCAAACAAATAATAATAAAAAAAACATTTACAGTTATGCCAGTTACTGAACTTGTACACAGACGCTAATTTGTGAAAGAGAGAGTACAGCTACATTTTTTCGGGTGAGGCCAGCCACTCAAGAGTTGAGTTTTTTTCTCGGTTTCCGATTAGCCGACAAGCCCCGCACACAACCAGAAACATACATTGGATACGTCATTGTGACCACACACAAATTCCACAGCATCCCGCCATCACTAACATTGTGGTCTCGCTGAACGAAGCTGAGGCACATGTCTGTAAAGGCCTTTGTGCACTAGAGCAAACGTAGAAAGGATGGGCGAGGCTTTGTTATTTCAAGTACAAACGCACTTGGTTCATCTAAATCTGGAGCCTCACTCTGTTCGGTTAGAATTGCAAACTCAAATAAGAGCGGAACGCGTCATCGGGCCCCGTTCGCATTGCCTTCTCATTCACCGTGCAAGCGTGCCTTGCGTGGCCTAGTCAATAGCGTACCTGTGGCTCGCAAATAAAGGGCTATGGGTTCGAATCCCGCCTAAAATTCTTCAAATTTTTTTTTTTAAGGCAAGTGAATTACTTTTTAAAGTGAAATCATTGGATACACGCCGCGACCTTTAATTTGCATTACATGTCATGTTTTTAATCACTTCCATTCCACGCGTGATGTTAAGTTTCACGTGAGCGTTGTGGGTTGTTCGAAATTCCCGCGCGAGCTCATGTGACTGTGACGTCATGAGCCCATCGACCACTCAGGACTTTCCCGTCACAACGCCGCCGACGCCGGCTTTTCTGCGACACGAGCTCCTTAACGCTGTCACGTTAAAGGCCGACGACCAGTTCGCGCTTTCCACTTTTGTCTCGCTTCCTCCTCTCTCCCCTTCTACCCTGTCCACCGCTGCCTGTTTCCTCCTCCCTCACGGTGAGGGGGACCTTCTGCCTTGCGGAATCTCGAGTCTGGTCGTTCGTCGGCCTTTAAAAGGACACTTTCTTTGGTGGAACCTTAGCATGCTGGTTCAGTTCAAAATCCAGCCATGTTTATACAGGCGAAGATGGCGGCTGCGCCGTGCTTGCCAAGGAGTGATTCAGTTGTATTTTATATCATATTGTCACGAAGGATCAGGCGAGGAAACAAAAAATAACTGAAGAAACTGTAACGTTTAATGGGGCGAACTTGTGCCCAAAAATAAAAAGGGAACAGAAGGTAACAACAGAGCGTCGCGGGCGTCGAAGTTAGCGTAACAGCAGAATCGAACGTTGGGGCGAGGCTGACCGCGGATTGCCACGCAGAGCCCCTTATGAACACGCGTTGGCTTCTGGAACAATCGACCTAGAAGGTTCGGCGACTAGAACATTCATACCTCGAACAAGCAACAGAGTTCTCGAATGTACCAGAACACTAATTTGCAAGAATAAATAAAAGACGCGTCGCTCCCAGGAATCAAACCCTGGCTCTTCGCGTGGGAAGCAAGCACGATAACCGTCAGGCTACGGCCGCGCTGCCTACTTGGCCAGCTGCGCGCGCGGCTATATAATCTTTTTTTTAATAATTTGTCTTAAGCGCCGGCATTTTCTTCAACAACATTATACTGACCAACTCTTTTCCGTGTTCTAGGACAATGTGTCTCTTCGGTCTTCCATCACGGAGGAAAGGGTGCAAGGATTTCGGTCTTACAAGAGCACCTTCGAACTCAACGCGACTGACGTCATGGACCTGGGCCTCTACTCTTGCTACTACCTCGGTACCAGGGACCACACGAATACCGGCAACGTCACATCTATCTATGTCTTTGTAAATGGTGAGCGCAAGGGTGAATTCTATATATTTTCTTTTGTTGGAGGTTTGGAATAATTTCTCTCTCTCTTGGCTCACTATAATTCGAGGTTTTCTCCTCTCCCCTCACCTCCTCTCGGGCATTTACTCCGCTTAGGCGGAAAAGGCTTTGCAGGAGGGGCTCGCCATGCTATTCTAGACCTGTAACCAAGTATAGTGCCAGAGGTACTTTCACTATTATTGTTGCTAATCAATCAAAAATTGCCGATGGCAGAATTGGGTGGAATCGCGGTTGTCTGGACTTCTCTAGTCAAGTTATACTTTTGAAATATTGTAGCAAAAAACTGTGTCTGAAGGTAAACTAATCTCCCGCTGCACACGTATCTCTACAACACTTTTGATGCTACTATTGCACACGCGGGCATCGGGAGTTGAAAGTGGAAGTACATTCCAACAGCTATACTTTATGAGCATTCAGCAGACTCGCGCTCCCGGGTAATATTTTCAATGCCTGCGGCATGCGGTGCACCGTTCTTGACCCAAATGACATTTAGCCATAGTCGTGGACAAGACAAGAATCGTAGGGTATCTCCTTCGAATGCTCAGCCTCCAACACGGGCTCGCGGTGCCCTCCATTGTGCCATAGCCTCCTATATAGTGACAAAGCCTGGAAGATCACCATGAGAAGCGGCAGACAACGAATGAGAGGAGAGCCACGTGACTGGCGCCCCGCTGCGGCGAGACGCCGAAACACATTTCTCCCGAGCGAACAAGTGTGTTTCGGGTCCTCGCCGCTGCAAAAACTGTGCGCTGACGTTCAGGTTCCCCAAGAAATGGCTCTTTGATGCTCTGTGCTACCAGATCCTCGCGCTCCAAATCTGCGACCGGGCAATCTATGGCTCCGTCGTCGAACTACCAGGCTTTGTGAGCATAGAGGAGGCTATGGTTGTGCTTTGGCTGCGCGTGCACGCTTGAACCTCACGAGAGGCCGAAGTGTTATCGAAGGCAGGAAGCTGGCGCTGGTCCAACCAAAGCAGTATTGTTCAGAGTCCCGTTGAGCACTTCAAAATATTCTGTTTTTGCAATGTGTCAAACTGGCGAATTGACTCAGATTAACTACCTGTTTAAATATAAATATATTTTTTGTGCTCAAACCTTCCAATACAAAAGTTGTAGAGCGGTGTTGAAAAATATCCCACCCTGTCGTTTCTATTGAGATAGCCATGATGTGTCTATTTTTCGCAAGCTTTAAGGTTTAAACAAAACGCGTAAGACTAAAAAAAAGAAAATCCTTACGCAACTACTTTTTTGCCTAGGTGTTTCCAAGCTTTTTGGTTGAGGGGCCTGATTAGGGTTCTGTCGCAGTCTTGATGGCCGCAAAACAACAACAACAACAACAAAAAAAGAACAATATTATAAACGAGGAAAAATGAAACAAATATATCTAGATAAGTATTTAAACACAGAAATCAATGTTAGAATGGGCAATAAAACAAGCCTATGGTGAATCAATAGATATACTTCAATTTCAAATGTATTATTTAGCTATATATGGGCATAATGGAACAGCTGCGACCAAGCAAGCTCACCAGGCATAAATCAAAGCGCATGAAAACTGGCCCATTCGCGCTGGGCAAAATACTACTTAGAACGCTAAAAATAATTCTGACCATGTGCGATATTTGTGACAGAAAACACTAAGCAGAATTTACATAAAAAAACGCAATGCTACACAGACATAAAGCAGGGAAGTAAAAATGGCCATGCCGGTGATGGCAATATTCAATGGATATTGTCATCACGAGATTACAATATCTACTGAATGGTACCATGTCAGAACCCATGTTATTACCATGCGGTTTCTTACGTACTCCCTGGTGCTCCTTTCAATAAAGCCGGCCACGGGCCGGGCTTCATTGAAAGGTCTGTGACCAGCCGCGGGCCTGTGGAAAGAAATCTGCGGGCCGGAATTTGGAAATCCCTGCTCTAGCGAACCGCAATATTAATTCCCCCAGTCCCGTGTTTTTTTGTTTTTTTTTAACTTCGCGCGCTATTCCTGGTGCTTAAAAAAAAAAAAAAAGCTTTAGACTTGCGAAGGTTATTTTGATAGAAACGAACGATGGGATGTTTCTCAACACGCTCTGCGATTTTTACATCAAAAAGTTTGTGCACAGATATAAAATTTAAAAAAAAGTTCGCTAGTTAAACATTAGCCAGACTGGCTCATTGCCAAAAATATATTGACTTGCTCGATAGGACTGTGATAAATACTACGTTGGTGCGAAACGCGTAGCGTCTCTAGCTTTTTTTTTTAAGTCTTGGCGCGAGTTAGCTGAAACGCCCTGTAGATATGACATGAGGTATCTCTGCTGCACGTCAGTTGAACATCCAGGTTATTTTCTGCAGACGACTACTACCTCTTCCAACCGGACAAGCACCTGGATCAACTCATCTTCGTGTCGGTGAAACATGGCGAGCGCATGGTGGTGCCCTGTCTTCCGACCCACTCCAAGGCCCAGGTTCAACTCTGGAAGGCTGAGTTCGAAGACGAGCGGGAACTGGTTCCTCTTGTGCCTCAGTACGTCGAGTTCGATCCCACGCAGGGCTTTATAATCTACTACCCGCACAGCTACTACTCAGGACACTTCCGCTGCAACGGCTCGGTTCCAGGCAGGACCTACGTCAGCAACGATATCTCGGTGGTCTTCGTGTACTTGGGTAAGTGGCGGCGGTGTCGGTACCCACTTGACCGGTATACGCTAAAGATGGCGGATTGCGGCGTTAGTTTGCATTTTACACCTACCGGCGGCCAAGCGGATAGATAGCAGTAAGGAAGCTCCTTGTGTCTGGCACCATTTGTTTGTGTACCTACCTGGTACACGTTATTACCGTATTTTCCGCATATATATAAAATTTGCACCCGGTACATGCCGACAGGGCAAAGTCCGCGCCTGGTGCTTAGACTGCACAGAAATAGTTCTCATGCATAGCATACTTGATAAATACCTGATTTATTAGCTCACAAAGAAGCTTGTATCATTCATAAATCATCATCAACATACTCTATCAATCATAATATCCGTCATGTCTCGTCATAATCAGCAATCTAGAAGAAAAAATTGTATTGTCCACACCCAAAGAAAGTTCACACCGCGTAAACATTTTAACTTTTTTTCATGTATATTCCACCTCCGAAAAATATGGTAGCTTATTGAGCGTACTAACCTAATACGGAAGGGGGTAGCATCTTGGCCAATATCCAATTGTCCTTTGCCACATTGCTTGAAAGATGTAGTATATGTTTGTAATACCCATGACAAGTACCAGGACTGGTGTGCCGTATTTCTGTGCACGCACCTATTCGAACCTTCCACACCTGGCCTGAGCTGAATTTTCTGTTTTTCCCTCAAGCTCCTGTGGACGTGGCACCAAACGTGATGATAGAGAAAGAGAGCAACTTCCACCCTGTGCTGAACGCCTCTTTCACGCTTAACTGCACCATCACCGTCGAAGTGGGTGTCATGGTCATCATGGCCTGGGACTATCCGGACAAGAATGTAAGCTTGCCGATACGCCTTATCGACCAACACACTGGTTACAAAAAGCCCGCGCTTACCCGGACCGGGTGTGGGCACTGCGCGTGCGCAGAAACCAGACTCGCCTGAGGCAAAGTATCTGCGCATGCGCAGTGGCGCCACCAGCGCCACCCCCGGTGGTGTGACGTCAGAGAGTCAAGTTGGTCTGTATAGTATTTTTTTTTACTCCGTTTCGCATGAAGTCCGACCGCAACCGACGCTACGATACGATTAAGCCAGTCAGTCAACGCCAAAAGGGCCTCGTCATGGCACTCATTGTCTTTGAGGGTTTGCTATCATTGCTATGAACCAATCACGCTCAGACAAGAAAAAAAAAAAAGTAAGATTACGGTGCTTAGTGGTAGCATCGTGATCCTGCGGTGCTAGCAGATCACTGTGAGTGATCCTTTTGCTTTTTGATAGCGAAAGCACAAAGACGATGAGCTCGGCATGACGATGCACTTTTAGTGGCGTCGTTTGACTGGTGCCATTGGATTGTATACCGTCGTCCGCGGTCGGGCGTAAAATGAAACGAAGTATTAGCGCCGAGATGTTTCCGTGGCGCCCTGTTCTGGTTTCTTTTCGTGACGTCACGACCAGAATTTGCCTCGCCCTGGGGCCCTAAACTCGTCGAACACAAAGTTGGAGCCCAAAGTTCGCGGAGCGCGCCGATTGGACGCCGGCGAAAAAAGCGCCAAGTCATCGTCGGGATAGTCCAATCAGTGCGTTCCGTGAACTTCGGCCCAAACTTTGTGTTTCACGAGTTTAGCGCCCCTGATTGACATGAATCGCCTCTGCCTCGCCGTGATGGGTAGAATTTGCGTCGCCTTGAACCGGCGATTGGGCAGGCAATATCATAATACAGGAAGGTGTGGTTTGGCCAATCGCGAACTTCATGTCGCTAGTCGCAGTGTGGCCTTCTTATGCGGTTTGATGACAAGGAGGACTCCCTCCCCGTCCCACTTCGGGATTACCTTTCGATATGATAGCCAGCCTTCCCACGAGCTTGTGCCTTCTCCCCTTCCGCATAACCATTCCGTTGAATTGTCTCTTCTTTTTTTTTGCTAGTTCAGTGGAGGATGTCTGCCAACGATAGGACAGGTTACCTACGAGGATTTGAATTGAAATGAGTGACTTGTGGGCACCGGTCTCATAAAAAGGAATGCGCGGTACTGTACTGCACTATAGAGTCTTCTGACAGGATCAGCTGCAACCGAACTGCGCAACCGAAATGGGCATCGGTACAGAAGGTGTCACACCCCTTTATATCCTCCTCTCCCGCTTCTGTCGCAAAGCATACTTATTTCAAGTACTCGAACAGTAATCTTCGAGTCATTTTCACTGCCGAAAATACGTTCTGTGTATAGTTTGTACTAGATAAATTAATTTAAATATTACTAGGATGCTTCCTGAGTCCTCGCAGTCTCTCTTCAACGGTGCCTCTGCTGGGCGCCTGTGTATTTTCAGAGCTCTCGCATCACTGTCACCAAGCCTGTCCGTCGGGACAAGCAGATCGGAAACGAGCGCTTCGTATTCTCCGTGATCACGTCCCAGCTGACAGTTCACAACGTGCAACGGAGCGACGAAGGAGTTTACACGTGCTCTTGCACCGACCACGCTCCGAGGACTTACAACCGATCTCTGTTGGTCTCTGTGTACGGTAAGAGAAATTTCAGCGTGGCGCTGCTCTGTTTCCACCCCCGCGCATGTCATTAGAGAAGCATTAGTGATCATGAGGCCCGATCAGCTCACCTGAATCACAACGCTTTCTGAAATTGACTGACCGTGTTCTCCCGCTGTTGACCACCTTGAAATGGTGTCAAATCAAAACAATATGTTTAGCTTAATCCTTAGCAGAGGAGCTGTCATTAGTTAGTGTAATATGACAGTAAGGATTTCAATACTCTAAGTTTCTATGAAGTTGAAGTTAACTGTGACTCATTACATTTTGGAGTAACTTGTGGTTTATCTAGTTTGGTTAGAGTCACCCATCAAACCTTTGTTAATAAATACACAAATTCATATCGACTTAGTCTCATCATCAACGCCATACATTGTCACTACCTCATGCACTGTCGCAAGAAGTACTGAAGCAAACCTGAACTGTGCGGATATCGAGTTGCTTCATTGAAAACTGAATCATTAGTCAGCAATCGCAGCTCATGTTGAAGTGTTGAAATATTTTTCGAAAGTATAATTGCAACATATGCTCGTTACTTTCTGCGTGTAACTGTGACTAAGATAGGTTTGTGACCTCATTACGTCGTTTGCTCACGTATGTATGACTAAACTACCTTTCCAGAGTTATGTGTGCAGCTCTACTCTGCGCTGGTTCCGAATTTCCTTGACCGTCGCTGTCCCTATATAAAGTGTTTAAGTTGAAACACTATTTTAGCACATCTGAGCTGCCTATAAAGGCATTAATAGGAGCCAAACACTCGCTAGCATATGCATTACTGCTTACAAGGTCTATATAGGCTCCTGCGCTGCTGTACTGCATCAATGTCGAGGCTTCGAGGGGTTTCTGGAGATGAGAAAGTTCGAATATCCTTGCGCTATAGGTACCTAGATGCAGGTAAACTTTCTAGTTTTGATCGCATTTTTTTTTCTCTGCATTCTCTGACAGAATCCGAACAGCTGGCACACGTGAACCTGACGACGGACCTAAACACGTCTCAGGTGATGACGTCCGTGCGGGGTGGCAGCTTCAAAATCGTGGTGACGGCGCAGGCGCACCCGAGCTTCGAAGACGTCATCTTCAGCTGGCGCAAAGACGGACGAGATCTCGTTGAGAACGGAGATGTGACGCTCATCCGCAAGGACCCTCAGGTCATTCTGGAGAAGAAGGGCGCACACTTTGACGACAGCGGAAAGTACACGCTCTACGCACGCATCGGGAACGCGACTTCCAAGATCACCGTCACTGTGGACGTGGCTTGTAAGTGAACCCGTCTCCCTTTAAGTCGATTCTGCCGGTTTTCGCTTCGGAGGAAATCCCCCAGATTCTGTAAACAAGCCAGTTATGCTACGGTACCTGGAACACATCTTCGACTGGTGGCTTTAGCTTCCTATACCGCCAATGCATCAAAACTGGTTTCGGAGCGGCAAGAAATAACGTCAAGGGAGCTGCCGTGACGTGCTGTCGGATGTCTCGATCGTGGTGGTTGGTCGTAGAAGTTCCGGCAAAAAAGTATGAGAAAATTAGAGTGTCGCTGTCATTGTGGCGTCACAACTCCTGGATGCCCAAGCTTCCGTGGGCTGTGAAGCTTAAGAACAACGTGTAGCACAACAGCTGTCTACCGCATCCACTTCCGCTGCTGTGCCATGCCACAGCCAGTGTAGTGGCTGGCAACAGCATAATGCTCCTATGATACATCATCAGGCGGAAATCTAGGGACCACATTTGAAGACGCAGAGGGCACATTAGTCGGAGGCGCGTTCCAGGTATAGGATAGCTTTCACCAAGAATGCAGTCATTTTTTTTTTTTAACCTAAACTCAAGAAACACATTTATTTAGTTTGGGAGCGCTGACACGATCCGTCTCATCTTTCCAGCGGAGCCAATCGTGGAAATTTTTAACAACACGAGCGTGTACCAGCGTGGCTCCAACTACACCCTCGTGTGCAACGTCCGGGGCACCCCTCCCATCTCGGCCCAGTGGGGCTGGAAGCAGTGCTCCGACCCTAACACATGCGAGGAGACGGGCATGCACGGCGTCTTCAAGGTCATCGCGCAGGGCTTCAAGAATGACAACGGTCCCCTGCAGGAGTTTCACGCGGGGGACAGCAGTGCCAGGAGGCGCAACGTCACCCTGAAGGTTTGAACATTTCAGTGTTCTCATCACTTCAATTGCACTCGAAGAAGGAATCGGCCTGTGCAAACATAGGATAAAAAAAATCTTTAGTTGAGTGACGACTTTTAATATAAAGCCTCATTTTATTGCACATTCTTCATGACATGGGTTCTCAAATTGGGTTTAGTAACCTTGAGGTTTCTAGTTTCAAAGCACTCACGTGAGCTCCCTGACCTCCTTGGGGTTTCTCAGAGCACCCTCATGGACTCCTTGAGCTTCCAAGTTTCCTCGACCGTCTCTGTACCTTAAGTGAGGCGTTTTTCCAGTTTGGTCACTATTTTCGCAGATCTGAGCCACTCATTCATACCTGAGTATAAGCCTAACCGTTCCTTATATTTCCATTATTGCTTGCAAGGTCAATAGTTTCCCATATACTACACTAACCCTTAGGCCTGCAGGGGCGCTCCTCCACCGCCATTCGAAGCACAGTGGTGTTCCTCGAGATCAAAAAGTTTGAATATATTAGCTCTAGGAGTTTCACGCCAGGACAATCTATGAAGGGGCATGTGATCACCGATGTCTTCTTCCTTTTGCAGGTGCGCGCTATGGAGTCTGGTGTTTATAAATGTCTCGCTACAAATTCTCTTGGCACTGGGCAGGAGAAGGCGCCATTTTACGTCACAGGTGAGACTCGGACTTGAAATACAAAGTGCCCCCCTCTTTCTCTCGCTCTCTCTCTCTAAAAAAAAGACAACGCTTATTTTTACCGGAGAAATATAGTCTGCATCTCCTTGAGCTCAGTCTCCGAATGTAGCGCTCGAAGTCCGGAACAGTGGCCAAAGTTTCCGAGCTTGCCGCTATTTGACTAAAAAGGTTTCTGACAATTTTAGGAACTTTTCGGTGGGGCAATGGTGGCCAACGAGGTCCACAAATCCAAAAAGATGGATGGTGTTAGACCTGAAACAGGTCCCGGTGTCCCATTGAAAGTTTCCGAAAAAACTCTTATAACTTGTAAATTGGACAACGGCAACCTCTAAAACTAATTGGCATCCGGCATGAAAAGCTTTCTATGGCTTTCCAGAAGAAGTGAAGAGTGCGCGTGCACACCTTGGGTCGGCACTCAATGTGCTAAAGTGCTCGTTCGCCCATAGCTTTGACTTCATCGTCACAGAAAGTTGTCCACGAGTATAATGTTACCCTTGGGCGAAGACTGAGCGCTCGGCGTCGCAAAGTTAATTTATTGCACTGAAAACAAAAGTGGAAATATTTTTCGGGGACAGGCGGTAGAGGTCAGGCCAAAGCGTTTCGAATATGCCCGAAGAGAAGTAAAAGTCAGGGTCAGTACGTAGTACACACACAAACCATAAACGAGAAGTAGTGTGTGGTTGGTGCGTCTCTTGTCCTCGGAATTTTTGCGCACCTTTTTAAGGCATGCATAAACACATGATTTTTGGGGGTTCTGTTTACAGTACCTGTGATCTGATCAGTAATTGCGAGTTTGGGCAGACCGCTTTCGTGTGCTTGCTCCGCACTATATGCTGGAGCGGCACAATCGCCACAGTGCATGTGGGGCCGCTCTGAGTTTGAGCGTAGCCGACTGGGCTTGCGCAGTTGGGCACACTCGGAGCGGAACGGAAAGAGAAAACGATCTACTGAAACTCCCTAATATCTATATTCCACAATCCCTAAATTTTACCAAGAAAAAAATGCTGTTTTGGACGACATAATAAAATAGTGAAGATTTTACGGCTACGTCTGAAGAATAAGGGATGGTCTAATAACTTTATTTAAAAATGGTGAAAATATAACATGGATAACCTTCATTCTTACGTCGGGAGTGATTCGATAAAGATCACAAAAGAAAGGTGATAAATGTCAATGAATGTTTCTCCTCGAAACCAGAATCGCAACTACTTCTCTTGAGTAAGCTTCACTGAACAGGTTGTAAATTTCAATGATCTAAACTTTGTCATAAAATGGACCTCCAAATTCTCCTATACTGTTGTCTTTTTCTACGACTCAGAAGTTTTTAAATTTTCCGCACCACAGACTCCGATGTTACGTTATGACTGATTGTCACCAGCTCGCTTGCGATCTCACTGTTAATTCGTTAACCAAATATAAACAATTTTAGGCATATACGTAGGAATGTAGAAAATGCTGCTTCCTTTACTTTTTACGCTTTATTTGCTCATTGTCGTTATTACATGCAAGAAAGTACTGTGGGTGTTGTCACCAGCGCAGCCCTTGTACGGGCTCAGAATCGCCAGTTTGAGTGTCACTTCATAATGATGGGCTACTAATTTCGAAGGCATTACCAGAAGCATTCATATGGCACGCAATGTTCGACATGCATGTGACTATATATATTGTGCTTTCAAGTATGTCCCTGAGGTCCCTGTTTTGGATCGCCCAGATGCCAGGAACGGCTTCGAGATCGTGGCCTCCGACACCATGCCCGTGGAGCAGGACCACGTGAAGCTGAGTTGTCTGGCAAGCCAGTTCATCTACGACGAAGTCAGGTGGAAGTGGAAACCCATGGGGACCACCACGTTTTCTGATATCAATGACTCGAACGGTAAGGGTGAGCTTCGCTATCTCTCCCAGTTCCTCGTTTTTCAACGTTTAGTTTTGACGCTACCGAACTTCATCGAACGGCATGTATCGGTATCCACTATGGTTTTAGACCTGGCACGTGAAGCACCCTGATTGCTATAATCGAAAGCAATCTTCTAGAAGCCTCTAGGTGGCAGCAAGCATTTCGCTAAGATATCGCGCACTTCTCTTCAGAAAAGTTTCGGGCGCTTGTCCATTGGGAGCCGTTTCTACGGGGTGTCCATGAAAACAATTTACAGTGCTTCTTTTCACCGCAAGAATGAACTATACGCATCACCGAACACCAAATACTCGCCCAATCGTAGGACTAACTGGCCGCTAGTGCTACCCCCAAACGTAGCAGTATCAGACCAGATGCCAAGCTTCAGAGCTTGCCATTATCTGGTTCAAAAGTTGAAAGCAATTTTTGGAAATCTTCAGAGAGGAAATGGCGGCCAATGAGGCCCACGAATGCAAGAAGACAAGCGGCATCGGCTAGTGGGAACGGACCCCATTTCCTCATTGAAATTTTGCCCTAAATTGCTTGTAACTTCTGAACCAGATGTCGAAAAGCTCCATGACTTTGGCATCTGGTCCAGAGCGCTAGCGTTACGTTTGTATGGAAACTGGGCTTTCGGCAAGGCAGTTAATTACCCTCTACTTGAAACAGACCGAGCTCGTTATATGGTTCGTCGCTACCGTTTCCGGAATTGACGAGACTTTATCGTTGACCCCCGCTCCCCTAACCTTGCAGGCACGGTGCAGCTGGTGAAGGCGTTCACGTCGTTCTCCCACAGTAGCACGCTGATCTTCGACTCCGTTCTGCGGAATCAATCGGGAGAGTATGAGTGCTACGCGTACGTCAAGGGAAGCAGAAAACAGCGGCGTCGGGCGTTCGTGAAAATGACGGTGAGAGGTAAGCCTGTGCATTATTTTTTCTCCACTTCTTAGTGTCACGCGTAATAAGGTTTACTCAATGTCGAGAGATTACTGCGACGAGGAGTGCGGCCCTGCGCACACCGACTTGGCGGCTTCATATATCCTAGACAAAGTACCTGCGTTTTGACGATGGCCTATATTGCCGTGCGGTTGCCTATTTGTACCTGACACTAGAGCCACTGAAAAATTTACGTGTGGACTATTGGCACTCTATTTTTCGATTTGCTCGTCGGATGCCACCAGTTTTTGTGCTTATAGTGCGAGGTCGGCGCAAAAGGCGAACGCTACGATGAGAAAATACGACTTCCTGAATTTTTGTTGCATACTCCAGAGGCTCGCGAAGTATTGTATTGCTTTGTCGCCGCGGACCGTTTTAACCTTGCTGGAGGACGGAAAATCGTTTCCTGCGTTTTCAAACAACGTAACAATAAATCTTGCTCTTAAAAACAAAAAAATTGTATATTATTTTCATTTGATTTCTTACATCTAAATCTAATTTATTTCATTTAATTCAGATTAATTTGATTTAAATATCTGTAGCTGGAAAATAGTGACTCTCATTACTTCATGTAGTTTTAAGCATGGAAGATTAATTTATTCAATCCATCCGATCACAACAATGCGGAAGAGATGATTATTGTAAAGTACAGTTTAACATCACTTTATATATGAAACCCCCGCCATACTGGAACAAATTTAGCTCTTTATTTGTTTTTCTTTCGCGAAGTTCAAGGTAGAAAGAAAGTTCAGTGCGTCGATTTGGTCTGAAGAGCACTGCTTTCTGCTCGTGTTCAGCGCCTGGTTTTTCTTGCTTGATGATCTCTTGATTTTAAAAGAAAACAAGTGCGCGTAGACAGCATCAAATGATATACAAACGGTAAATAAAAAATATTTTCGTGAATATGTTGGCGAGAAAGATTTGATTTGGTCATCGCAGTAAAACTAATTTGATTCGAATCATGATTTATGCTATCATCTTTCTTTTTATTCTCCAGCCTGCCTTCAGGCGATTGGCAACAATGATTTGAGTGCACCGAGATTGCTGAAGTGTCGTTACTTTTGAGTTTAGCTTATTTGTGGCTCTATGCTCATTGTCAGACCAAGAAAAAATTACGTCACTCACACAATTCACGCGCTCCGCGAAGTAGTCCTTACAAGAAATGGCTGTGAAAGGAAGAAACAAAGCTTTTGCCTTTCGAGACTTATGTACATCGTGTTAAGAACATCAAGCTAATCTAAGATGCACCTCCATATATCTTAATTCAACAAGTGAAGGGCGTAAGTAGTGACGCTCCACGAGGAGCCGGTTCTTGGGGTGAATGCGAGCTGACACATTAGTAGTGGGTTAAAGCAGCTAAAGATCTCCAAGCTGTTTTTAAGAATGCCCAGTTGTTTACTGGGGCATCGTCAATTACGTTTTTTTTTTTGTTTTGGTTTTAAAGTTTGTTTTTGGTGCCATCTTCACGTATTTTCTCTCTCCGGTCTGTCCCGTTCCACGAAACCAGCCATCAAGATGCCCGAGTTCAACAAGACGAACCTCCAGGGCAGCGTCATGAGGGACGTGGCCTACATCGAGCTCTACTGCACCGCCACGGGAGTGCCCGAACCGAGGATCTCGTGGAACAAGGACGGCAAACCGCTCAACATGACGGACATCGAGCGACTCAATGACGGCACCTGGCTCATCAAGCGCAAGGTGACGCCACAAGACGCGGGCAACTACCAGTGCAAGGCCGAGAACCGCGGCGGGGCCATCTACGACAACGTCGACATCGTTTTCACGACGGGTATGCCGCTTGTTCTTCTTTGTGTATTTATTCACTGATACTGCTCGCGTCGTCGAGGATCTAGCAGGAGAGGTACAGGAGTGGTGGCAGGACTGGTAGCGGGAGTGGTACAAGGGTGGCAGCAGGAGTGATACAAGAACGGAAGCAGAAGTGGTACAAGAGCGATAGCGGGACTCGTAGCAGGAGTGGTGCTTAGAAGGGCTGGCCGCTGTGCTGATGCTGAGATCGAGTGGCGAGGAAAGTCGAATGCTGTGCTGTGGCACGCGTCTTCACCTCAGTCACGCATTTAGGCCAGCTGCCGCCAGCATTTGATCATTATTTTATTACATTCATGAAAGCCGAAATGTACTGAATAATCCATCGAAATCCGAATCGACTAGTCTTGGATTCGTTCCTGGCCTACATATAAAGAATGCAGGGTTACCAGGGCACCTATGTGTCTGCCACGCAAAGAACTCCTAAGACACTATTTTTCTTTTATATAGTAGAATTTTTTTAGTGTAGTTTCAAATTTCTTACTTTTTTAATGTAACTGCGAAATAAATGGGTTCTATATCTGTTGCCATCGTCGATGGGAAAACTGAGGAAATACCAAACCTAGGTACTTCTGGATTTTCGTACACTGACCGGTTGGTGCAGCCGGTTTTGCTGGAGTCGTGAATACGCATGAATTTGCGACACATTTGGGTACACAAATGATCTGCTTTTTTTGACGGCAGCCATTGGAAACAGGGTTCTCCTTCGGTACGCCAAAGTGCTAGACGTTTCTCACAGCATTTTACCATTGATATGGTAGTGATCTGATGTTTGTGATTATTCTGACTGTAATTCTTTCCAACTAACAGGCCTGAGCACGGCGCAAATAGCCATCATCTCAGGCACGAGCATTGCCGCTGCCATCTTCATCGGTATGCTGTTCTGTCTACTCAAGAGGTGGTACGAAGACAGGGTAAGTCAAATTGTTATACAATTGAATCTGCCTCAGTTGCCTGTATCTTCACGAAAGTTTTGAAGGTCTACAATAAATTAATCGTAAGGATCTGAGAAGACCCATATCCTCTGTTTTTTCTCTAATGACTCACCAACCTTTCGCATCGGGGATACCATATTGTGAAACCGGATCTTAGAAGGACAGGTAAAGGTGTGATCTAAACTGTTTTCTCGTGGTGAATGTAAGACTCAATGGCATCTCTATCGTATTGTTGTTCGCTCCCTCGGTTTATTTTCATCGTCTATCCATCTCGGGGCAAAAAACGTCCTTTGCGACATTGGAAACACTAGGAGCCTTAAACTCGTCAAACACAAAGTTGGAGCCGAACGTTCGCGGAGTGCGCCGATTGGTCGTCGACGCAAAAAAGCGCTAAGTCATCGTAGTGATAGGCCAATCGGTGCGCTCTGCCAACTTTGGCCCCACCTTTGTGTTTGACGAGTTTAGAGCCCCAGAGAGTTGTGAACAAACCATGCGATTACATGTGCACAAGAAGACAAAATGGTAGCCAAGGATAAGTCAAAGCTGATATATGCTGCTTTTTGGATCCGGCAGCAGCCGACACGATGATCCAATGGAGCCAATCACGTGACGCCAAAAAATGCGTCGTCACGACGCTCGTTGTCTTTGTGCGTTTGCGATCGGCGACTTAATCACAATCGGCTGCGGTCAGATTTAAACTGAAATGGAGTATATACCTTCGGCCCGTTGTGGTTTGCATGTAAAATAGCTAGAAAGCTAAAGACCGAAAAAAAAAAATCCCTTAGAAGTTGCATTTTAGTTTATGTGCTATGTGAAGTATATTTTGCACACAAATTCGTTGTCAAAAAAAAAAATGCTTATTGAGTTTTAAATATAGACGTTTTGGTAAAATAACAAATAACTTGCCTTAATACACATACAAGTATTTTCAACGTATAAAGGTGGAAATTAGTGAATATATTCACTAACAGCCAAACTTTTTTTATACTACGCTTCTTGAGTTGAAAGGGAGTGAGTGCTCTTCCCATTTCGAAAGCATGAAAAAAGAAATATCGCTTGATGGGAAATGAAGTTATTATTATTGTTATTTTTTTCTTATTATTAATGTTTGAACGGGATGACAATAGACCGATCTCACCAGCTAGTTTGAGTACGCCACCACTGCCGACATGCATCGTGGGAGCTGTAGTCTTTATGCACGCGCGACAACCCTGCTGGAGGTCTGCGCGAGCAGACCACGAAGGAGCATGATCTGTCGCGTGAACTAGCGTCTGCCTCCTACGAACTACAGTTATGGCGGCGTCACGCATGCGTGGAACGCTTGGTGAGATCGGTCTATTCCACGCGTATATTATACGACGCCATAGACTGACAGCCTATGGCGCCATTTACGCCAAGACTTATGAATTGCACGCGACTTTGTCTGGCTCTTGTTTGTTTACTTGCCAATCGCTGTATTTCTGCCCCTTTCAGAAACAAGAGAAAGAGCTCGACTTTGTGAGGAAGACGTTGTTCGACAAGGGACAGGTGGAAATGTTCAATCCGGACCTGCCGCTATCTGACCAAGTGGAATTGTTGCCATACGACCATCGTTGGGAGTTCCCCAAGGATCGCCTGAAACTGGGTGAGGGACCAATAGCGTACGTTGGCCGAGATCGCCTGGTTCGAGGACCTGATTTTTGGAACGGCATATTTTTGAAGTTCCTAGTCCAGTTCACTGTTAAAGTCTCTTGTGAGGCAGAATGGAACGTACAATGGTGAAAAATCCTGAAATTTAATTATCATAATCATCTATACTTCGTTTCAGCTTCAGTCCGAGCGCGGCCGATTTTATGAGCCGAATGGCCAATCAAACAGCGCAAAAAGCGCAGCGTCATGGCGTACTCTCTGCGCTTGATAGGACAAGCCAGCGGAGGAGCACACATAGAGAGACTGCGAGTACCGGCTGGTCTTATCGACTACAGAGAGCACGCCATGACGTTGGGCCTCTTTCGTTGTTTCATTGGCCGTTCGGCTCATAACATCGGGCGCGCTCGGATTGAAGCTGAAACGAAGTATAGTCAAGCATCCTTTTTGTGTACGTTTATTTTGCAACCCAAGAAAGGATACCTCTCGAAGCACCAGTTCAAAAGTGATCACAGTGAAATTAGCTTACAGTTCTTATTGAAGTGTAGAAGCTTCGAGGTGTGAATGCAAAGAACTGCTTGACATTTAAAGAATAATAGTTATGTTCCTAGTGCAATTTTCACTGTTCAACGATAACTCGTGAACAAAAGAAACAGAGATCTGCTTTCAGATGATAGCACCAGATTTCGTCTAGATAGAGGTACACTGCCTATCTTTTTTTTTTTTTTTGTAGCTTGGCACGTGAGCGTTTGATATTGATGAGGTTCAAACAAGCTGCCTGTTTGCTTGCCAGGGAGGACTCTGGGACAGGGTGCCTTTGGTCGAGTCGTCAAGGCCGAGGCTATTGGTCTTGGAGAGCACGGACAGTCACTCACAGTGGCGGTGAAAATGCTGAAAGGTAGGTGCCTGTCATTTTGTAGAGTGTCCCTCTCTGTTTTTGGTACCGTGACCATATTCCACCTCAAGTTCTGGGCCAGAGCAAAAAGCACGGCTTAAAGTATCTTGACTTTGCCCTTGGGCTTTCATTTGTTCACTGCTGTGTTCGTCTTTCATGCTGTAATGAAGAATTTTATGTCTCTAATTAATATATATATATATTCCTCCTGGTTCATTATTTTGCTTCTTTTGTGAACTTTATTACTGTAACATGATGAAGTCGTGCTAAAAAAAACTCTTGTCTGTGTAAAAAATTTTGCTTCACGAATTAAAAAAAAAAAGCCAACTCTTCGCACATGTCTTTCCTCTACAGAGCGCGCCGACACGGCTCAGCGTAAGGCCTTGATGGCTGAACTCAAGATTTTGATTCATCTCGGACGTCACCTGAACATCGTCAACATTCTAGGAGCTGTCACCAAGAATGTGACCAAAGGTAACAAGATTTGTTTTATGATTCTAAATTCAGCGAATTCAGCGATAGCTTTATATAGAAACTCTCCAGAGACCTTCTTTGCTCACGTTGGTCTCTGGTCTGACTGTAGCAAGCAAGGCCATGAGAGAAAGTGCCAACAACTGAAGATCCCTCTGGTGCTGACGCAGCCTTTTTGGTTGAACACTGACCTGCGGCTGACTCTCTTTTCGGTAGTTTGATGTCGTAGAGCGCGCGACCAATAGCTACACCCCGCCCTCCTAGCTCATGTCGGAGGCAAGACGTTTGAAAGGGACGCCCGTGCCGTTATCATTCTGCACTCTAAGAAATGCCTGCGCGTCTACTTACCCACAAAGCGCTCTAAGAGTCAATCTCTGCAATCTTCCAAATCAGCTCAGCGAATGATGTGGCGAAACATATGTTTAGACCTCAAAATGAAGTCTGCGCTATGGCATTACGCCATGCAAGCATGACGCTTTGGATTGTGTGATGCCACAGCGCAGACTTCATTTTTAGGTCTAAACGGACGTTCCGCCTCATCTTTCGCTGATCTAATTTTGTACATCGCAGAGATTGGCTTTTCGAGTGTTTTGCGGGAAAGTAGACACGCAGGCATTTCTTAGAGTGTCAACTATTGTAGAATAATCTAGCTGGTGCATGGATGAAAAACAGCACTCTTTTATGCATTCAAAAGGCCTTCGTCACGTGTAAAATTGCGCATCGATCATTCCGATAGCAAGTAGAGTTCCTTAAAAAAAAAAGGACGTCAGGTGCTATCGCACCTTCTTTACATTTAATGGAACCTCTCAGCCCAGGCGATATCTTTCTTCTGTGGGCTGGCTTTTCCGCCTTCCGTAATCGCCCTCGTGCTTCTTTGGTGGATCTGCAGGCGAGCTGATGGTGATCGTCGAGTACTGCAAGTTCGGCAACTTGAGGCACTACCTGCTGAGGCATCGGGAGCGCTTTGTCAATCAGCTGAACCCGGAGACGGGCAAAGTGGACCCGGACATGTGCTACGGACCCAACTCTCCTTCCGTTTTTAGCGTTCGCTCTGCCACCTCTCCTCTGGCCGTCTCGAACCCCGTCTATTGGTGAGTTCATCCAGAAATCTGGAGACAATGTTCTACACTGCGCGACACTGTTAGTGCGAACAAGCGATTGTCGATTTCTTTTTTAGTTGAAACGCGGTCGTCAAAACTGTTTGCGGCGCCAAGTTAAATTGCAAAGTTTGATCCTCCTCAATGCCTTGTCTGACTAATATGCGAAAGAGTGACGATGTCCTGATCGCGCTAACTGTGTTTCGCAGTGCATATTTTGACTTCTTGAGCCAAGGAAATGCATACTGGAATCTCGAGCCAGTGTTTTAGACGATTCCCTGACTTCAGTTAGGTCAATTTTGGAAATCCTTGACTGATCATCTTTCGTGGGGCGTACGTGTGTGGTCTCAAATGATATCCGTACATATGTACACAACAGGTGTGATTGTATTGTGTGTAGTGGCAGTAAGGATACAATAGCTGAGCCGGTGTTTGGCAATTATTGGTGTCGATGGCCAGTGTCTTTGTGTCTATAGTAGTACTGTTGCAAACTTTTGGACTCTGTGCCCACTGCTGGCAACTGTAATTGATGCAGCAATGACAGCATTCAATAAATTTATGCTAGTCATACATAATGAAGACACTTGATGTCTTGTGCCTTTAGGCAGCTCATATGGTTTAGGTTATGAGCAACATGTTTTATAACATCTAGTTGTTTACAGCGTCAGCACGTCACATCTTCACTAGCTCTAAGCCATAATCTAAGGGGCATTAAAGTGCTCTTTGAGATCCTTGTTTTATGGTCATAACTCAATCTACGTGCTTTAAGCATTATAACAAAAAAGCCGTTTACAATTCCCTGTAACGCCGGTTAGAGCGCAGCTCTTGAGGAGGAAGATGGAAGCGTACTGAGGGATAGGTGACTCCTTGAGGTCACGTGACCTCAGGGGGTCACGTGACCTTTGGGGGTCACATGACCTGAAGGGGTCACGTGACCTCAAGGGGTCACGTGACCTCAAGGGGGTCACGTGATTTCAAGGGGGTCACGTGACCTAGGGATGTCACGTGACCTCAGGGGGTCACGTGACCTGAAGGGGTCACATGACCTTAGGGGGGTCACGTGACTTCAGGGGGTCACCTGACCTAGGGGTGTCACGTGACCTCAGGGGGTCACGTGACCTTTGGGGGTCACGTGACCTCAGGGGGTCACGTGACCTGGGTGGTTCACGTGACCATCTTGAGGTCACGTGACCTCTCTGAGGTCACGTGACCCCAGAAGTCACGTGACTTCAGGGGGTCACGTGACTTCAGTGGGTCACGTGACCTCGGGGGATCACGTGACCTAGGGGTGTCACGTGACCCGGGTGGGTCACGTGACCTGGGTGGGTCACGTGACCTCGGGGGGGTCACGTGACCTCGCGGTTACGCCGACGGCGACGCCGCTCAAGCCGGAAACGGGCCCCTAAGAGCTGCGCTCTAAAACGAAATTGCATTCGTGTGCGACCGATTTGCGTATTAAAAAGTGATGAAAGATCCCGACACTTACCGTTGGCGCAGAACGAGAGATGGCGCTACCGAACCTTGTTGAAAATGGTCAAACGATGGACGGCGCTTGTCAGCCACTCGCGAGCGATTAATTCCTGCGAGGACGAGCGGGACTGGCTGCTCGTCCACGCGGGTACCCATCGATTGCGAGTGATTGACAAGTGCCGTCCGTCGTTCGACTGTATTCAGCAAGCTTCGATAGCTCCATCTTTGTTCTGAGCCAACGGTAAGAGTCGGGATCTTTGATCACTTCTTAATACACAAATCGGCCGCCCGTAACAGTAATTTTGTGTTTTCTTACGACGCTTAGAACTCGTAGATTGAATTATGACAATAAAACGAGGATCTAAAAAAACTCTTTAGTGCCCCTTTAGGTGTTGTTAACTGGAACCTCTCCCAGGTGTTTACTATTTCAAGTTACTTACGTCCTGTGAAATGTAACTTTGTGTTTGAAACTTATGCTTTTCTTCTGCAGTACGTAATTATACATACAATCATTTCCACCACTAACAGCATGCAATCTGTAATCCCCTTAAGCTCATACTCTACCAACTAGGAATCTGCAACCTGTTCGCGTCTACTACTAGCTTCTTTGCTGTATAATCGGGAGAAGTGCGAACAGTGTGGCCCTCGATACATGCTGCGCAACCTAGAGGCAACTAGGAACTGATAAAACTGCGGAGTAGAGAAAGGGGCTACAAGAATATCCACATCGGAGGCACCCACCTTCACAGCTCCCTTTCCCTCCCCCCATATTTTTATCAGTTCCTAGTTGTCTCTAGGTAGTACAGCATGTATCGATGGCCACACGCCCCTATGTTTGCATTTCATTCGCACTCGCCTACACCTACTAACTAACGACCTACCGTTGGCCAACTGTTTCTAACCTCTTTACTGGTTACACCATACACACCAGTGACCCGGTCTTTACATCCTACATGCATCTACACACCAGTGACCTACAGCTCGTTATATACTTATAACCTCCAACTGTGTGCCGTTTTGCACCAAGCTGCTTCTTTACTGGTTAGCATGGCAGCATGGTGCACTACGTCGCCCATCAACATACCTAGCATGAGCATGTCAGGCAAGGAAAGCATGACCAGCATGACCACGGCTATCGGCGCGTTCTCTCGCAGTCAGCAGACGCTAAAGTACGCCGACCTCGCTCTCAGCCCCTCGCCGACGAGCCAGGGCTACGAGTTCACCTTCCCCAGTTCGCAAGATGGGGAGGCCGGCGCCAGGACGTTCCCGCTTCCCGAGAGCGGCAACACCGCCCTCATGAGTGGCTCCTCGCTCAGGGACCATGGGGACTTCAGGGATTCTGCTCTGACCACCGGCGACTTGCTCTGCTATGCGTTCCAGTGCGCGAGAGGCATGGAGTACCTAGCCACTAAGAAGGTACGCTTTTCCCGCGGTTTTTGCTTTGGATGGTTCTTATCTTGGAGGTGGGGCCCTCAAATGGAGCGGCGCAGATGCCGGCGGACCTTGTAGACAGTGTAATGAACATACTAAGCAGTGTTTTATACAATTGATATGCGTCGACGGCAGGGCCGTACCCAGAAAAAAATTTCGGGGGGGGGGGGGGGTTTTCGGGGACAACGGCGGCCATTTTGAAAGTGTCTATTGTCTTATTTTCGCCTATGAATCATGTGCATCGGTGGTATATAATGGAGAGTTGCAGCAAACCGGAGAACCGGTCCCGGTTTGGTATCCGGTAGCCGACCGGCGCCACTGCGCGTGCGCAGAGGTGGAGATTAAAATCGGCTGGCTGCAAGTGCACCGACCAGGGCCGTACCCAGAAAAAAATTTCGGGGGGGGTCAGAACCCCCTATTCCCCCCCCTGGTTACGGCCCTGGTCGACGGACTGCTCAGATCTCGTACAATTGCGCTTAAACTGGAAGAACGCTTCGCTTAGGGTAATGGACAGCCGAAGAAATATGGAAGCTTGGGGAACCATTGAGGGGAAGCGCGGGAAACCCAGCTGGATTCCTAGGAACGCAGTTTGAGAACCCCATGTCGTAGACGATAGAATGTTTGGAAATAACTGCAAGATTCCGTAAAGTTTCTTTGAGAATTCGGGCTTGCTTCGATAGTTTAATCATCAGGATTAATCATAAGATTCTCCATAAGGTTCCTGTGCAAAAAAATGTGGTTAAATGTGACCTTCACGACAGGGGGTATTCCCAGAAGACTTGTTCATAACCTCTCCTTACGGCTTTACTGCCAGGTGCTTTAAATATTTGCCGAGGGAGCGAGTATAAACGGCAGTGCATACTCTCGCAGTTCTAGCTATTTTCAAATTACTTGGTGCCACATTATAACACTTCAAGGAACCATTTACTTGTGGCGCAAACAAGAATTCCGAAGTAGTGACATATCATTTTAAAGGTAGTTCTATCCAAGATAACTAGTGGTAGTATCTGTTTATAACTTTGCACATGACATTTGGTGCCTTTTGATGTTACTGAGAGCTTTGATGTATCATTGTGCTCATAATCATTTTACAGCTGATCCATCGCGATTTGGCTGCGAGAAACGTGCTGTTGACTGAGGAGAATGTTGTCAAGATCTGCGACTTTGGTCTGGCTAAGGATTGCTACAAGTACTCCAACTATGTCAAGAAGGGAGACGTAAGTCCATGATCGCTCATCTTTCTCTTACGTCTTAGGAGTCATGAAACAATTGTCGTTCGGAATGTTACGTACAAGTATGTTGATGCAGATGGGACAGAAGTATCGCAGCCACAGGCAGTACCACTGAGCCGGAAGCTCCTTTTGTATTGGCGAAATTTCAGTTATTGAAAAAGGACTACTAATTTTAGTCTCTCCTACGCAAAACTTGCTGGCGTAGGGTTATGGATCACTTGAAGCTGATAACAGTCCACGCGACTCACAGAATGAACACGAGCGTCGCGTGAGCACTTGACTCGGGTTCGGTTACTATCAATATGCCTAGGCCGTGGCCTAGGCGTATATTTGGGTTGGGATTTTGTGGCCGATCACCGCAGTGACGGGAGTAACCGAACTCCAGTGGTTTTGGAGCAGAAGCAAGTTTCCTGTGTATTGCCAGCTCCAACACGTGGCTACAATGAATACTGGAGGCACGGATTCGGCACTATAGATACCGTGGCCGCTTGTTCGGCTGCGAGTTAAAGGGATGACACTGCTCGTGTTTTTTTTTTAAATTTATTTTGCGATTGCTAGTACAGCGTTTGGCAGGTTAGGAGGGTTTATTCTGGGCAGCATATGTAGTAAGAACAAAGAAACCATTTCGTGATCTATTGAACTAAAGACAGACCTGCGACTGGAATTAAAAAGGAAAAGGGGACAAAGTATCCTTTCGTGATTTTAGAAATGAAGCACTTTTCATGACGAATGGGATTCTTTCTGCTGCTATTAACAAAAACAAAGAACGAAAAGGAGGGTTTTATTTATGCTTATGAAGATCTAACAGGTCAGCATTTAAACAAAGCTTTCCTCTAAAAAAACACTACATGTTAATGAGGGCAGTATGATAAGTTTATTATAAATTGAGATACTATGTTATTTACAGGGTTTGCTCCCGGTGAAATGGACTGCCATCGAATCCATCATGGACAGGGTCTTCACTACGAAGAGCGATGTGTATGTTACTCGATCATGGCCACATAAATTAGAACACTCCCAAATAACATATTTTTTCTAGTCTCCAAGTTAAAACAGGCACGATCAAAAAGAAATTTAATACTAATTTCCCTTTTTGCAGGTGGTCTTATGGTGTCCTCCTATGGGAAATATTTTCACTTGGAGGTAACCCTTACCCTGGTGTTGCTATCGACGAATCGTTCTACAAGAGACTGAAGAACGGCTATCGTATGGACAAGCCCGATTATGCTCCAGACGATGTGTAAGTCTCGAGTTATCGAAGGATTGAAATAAGTTACGAAGTTTCTCAGGACTCTCACCTTTATCCGAGTACTATATTAAATGATTTTGATTGTGCGCAGGTACGAGGTGATGCAGTCGTGCTGGCAAGCGGAGCCCAAGGAAAGGCCCGACTTTTCAGCGTTGGTTACGAAGTTGGGCGACCTTCTGCAGGCCAGCGTTCGTGATGTGAGCTTTCCATTCCCTTGATATTTGCAAAGAACCTGTACGAAGCAGCCCTATGTAAATGGGGGCTATATTACCGGGGAATGCATTATGCACACTCGACATAAGGCCTTCTTAACTCCTCATTTATTTGTTTTGTCTTTGATAATCGTATATACTGATAATCAACGTCGTAGAGCTGGTGGCGGTATTGATGACCTCCGTCAGTCATCGTGACAATAGATAGAGCCGTAATTTACACCGGAAGGTTTGTTTTATTAGACTTGATAACATAGATAGATTTGAACACAGCCCGAAATATTTTGTTAATGAGGGGGCATGTTTAATCTTGGGTACTCTGCATGGAGTGACCTGCCAGTTGTCCTACAGGCACTTACAAATAGTACTGACTTTCTAATTGTAATTAGAAACCTTCTCATTTAAAATGTCTATCTTCAAGAAAGAGCGTGTGGAACTGATAACTAAGAATGTAATCCAGGCAATATTTTAAGTATTTTTAGTTAATCTATTTTTAGTTCTATTTTTATTTATAGTTCATTCTTTTGTTGTTGTTCTTTTTCATTTCGCAGTACTATATGTCATTGAATGAGCCCTACATGAACATCAACCAACTGATCAAGAACAACAATGACTACCTTTCCATGGAGAACAAGCCGGAGGCCGACTATCTGGACATGAAGTCCGATGACGAGAACTACATCAACACGAAGAACCGTGTTCCGGTAGATGCGCCGACCAACTACGCCAACATGGCTGGCGGAGACGCCGGGAGCATCGAGCTTGCTCCGATGATCCGACGGGAGAAAACTCTAAACTCAGAAGAGGACGCGACGGGTTACTCAAACTTGCAGGGCAAGCTGAGGCTCCAGATTCCCGAGCGGAGCAGGGAGCCATCACCACCACGGTCGCCGGGCGGCGACTCACGGTCTGATGACATCGCCGACATCAGTGCCACCCCACCACCGGCGTACAGTCTGGTTGTGAGCGTCGAAGGTGCAACTGAGGAACTTTCCGTGTTGTGAGTGTAGTGACTCGTTGCACAAAGCAAGAGATAACGGCACCATTTCCGAAAGACGGTGGAAGAGGAGCCTAGCTTTATCGGCACCTGCTGGCAATGGCTTACAAGAGCTGAAGGTCGCTGCTTTGTTCTTTTTACGGGTGAAGAGCTTACCACCTGGTTGCCTTCAACCACACCTGGTTGCCTTCAACCGTAGGAGAGGATCTCTTGGTCTACTGGTGACTACCTGAAACTCTGAATGCTATCTGCAGTGTTCAGAGGGATGAACATGTGTCAGGCTAATTTAGGAAAGTTACCGTACCAATCTTGATTACCCTGCCTTTAACTGCACCCGTGGTGCCTGCTGGTGATGCCCTCAATCGGTTGAAGGCTTTTAGGGTTCATCTAGAAGATAGGCCCCGACAAGGGTCCCAGCTTGGAGTACCCTGCTTTCGCATCTGCACGCTGGTACCTTCTAGTGATGCTCAGTGAGAGGTGGTTATTCGACCATTCATGGTCCTCTGCTAAGTGGTGTTGACAAATTGTAATCTCACTTTGTGATTTGGCAGTCTTCAACTTTCGCAGCATGGTGCTTATTTTGCTATTGCATCGTGGATTTTATCTAATCGTCTTTCACTGAAGGAGTCACTTGGAGGTCACAGCTCGAGGAAGCATCTAGAGAAAAAACAGGGGGAAGGGGGGGGGGGGGGTGCACAACGAGATTTTTGTACCGACTGGATGAAGTCACAATGTCGGTATTTATTATACATGCCTGGCACATTGAGTAGGGCTTATGGTACAATGGAATGCTTTGCCTGCGGCACCAAAATAATGTTTGTACCACGGGACATTCCGCAGTTGAGACCAAATAAGTCAGATCTTACTGCATTTATTACATGCTCTCTTTCATAGTATGGACACTGTGAAAGTATCTGATTTGACTCGTGTGGAGACGGTGTTGAGCGTTCGGCACCTCGATCTCCCGATGGTGTTGTACAAGGATCTGTGTAGAGACAGCCTCTAACCACAGTGGGCAACTCGTAGAGGTTGAAACTTACTCAAGAGAGGCGTGAAGTAGAACGAATGGTACGCTCTGAATGACTCAGCAATGTTAGAAACTGATCGTTACGTTTTTGTTGCGTAAGAATAGTAGAAGACATTGCGCAGTTTAGACGGAAGTATAATCTTCGGTTGACAATGTGTTTCCTTGAAGGAACTAGCCGAAGACACCCCGACAAAGTGCAAAGGACTCGTATGGGTGTTTCGTCTGTATTTTTGTAAACTATTTCATGTGACATACGTGTGCGGACTTTTGTGGCTGTCGTGTTGTTTATGTTGTGGTTACACCATTGACATACAGTCCTAAAGCAGAAAAACATATTGTTTTATTTGAAGATGCCGCTGTGTTCAACAAGGCGGTGCGGATACTTGCTTACTGGAAGTATTTTTTTTTTCTGAAATATGTCCACTGAATGAATTGTTGGGGTGTACAAATCGGATGCACAAATTTGCCCAGCTATAGGATAATAGCTTAGACCTGACAGTATAAGGAATGTCATTTGTCAGGTGAAGTGGGCAAGAGCAGTTGCGCGCTGGAGAAGGGAAAGAGGAAGCTGATTGGGAATACACCTGAAAGAACTAACGAACATGTAGAAAGGTAAAAACCGTAGTATCTACGTGAGCTCTCTGTTAGCAACTCTTGTCTTTGCATATCTGCGCGTAGCACCACAGAACGTTAGCTCCTTGTAAGCATTACTTTTCGCAAGGACAGAGCAAAACATTGTCAAACCCTCATTTTATTTCTAGTGTTTGCTAGTCATTGTACAGTTTGTTCGTGAAGGGAAGAAAGAAGATGGATCTAAAGTCTGACATGAGAAGTATAAAGTGTTTTGTACATACGTGTTTGTAATTTACGCGAGTTACTAATATCTCCATTTGAAGTATTATTTCTCTATATTTTTCCATCGCCTTCTTTCGCAAAGTTTTAAAGTTCAGTTACATGTCTGCGATGGTTCTTCCTCGTTTAATTTGTGAGCAAATAAAGCTATTGCAAAGCAATTCTGGAGTGAGCTCGCTAAATACCTCCGCACAACAGTATCACTTAAATTATGTCCTCCATAAACACGTAGCACGTCTAAAACCAAAGCCGATAAGGTTTCTTTTTACAGTGGATCGTTTATTGTATTTATTAACTCGTCACCTTTTAAAGTTCAATAGGAATTAAGAGTGCTCGATCAAAGAAAGAACCATACTGGCCAAATTGCTCTACAGTTAATATGTGTTAACATTCATGTCTGACTATTATCTACACCCGCCACAATCCTTTAGTAGCCAACAAATCAATCACAAAGCACGGACTTAAAAAAAGAAAAAAAAAAAAAAAAACTGTCGAACCATTGCATGTCTCAGTTTCTTAGCCGTTGTCCGAGTCTAGGGCTGTGTACGAATATTCCTAGCCTCGCCTATCCTCCCTTGAGACACGAAGAAGGAGTGTGTTGCACGCATCGAATGAGGAAGCTAGGAGCGTGTTTTCCTTTTTTTCCGAATACCCGATTTCGAATTATTGGAAATCTCCCCAAAGAGTACCTGAACGCGGCGAAGCACCCGCCACCGCTACAAACCTCCATGGCGCAACCGGCGCTCATCGTATTTTGTGTGTTTGCTATAAACTGCTAGTCCAATCACGCAGAAAAAAAAAAAAAAATAGCGCAGAATCACGGCGCATTTAGCGTGCGTGATGGTTGAGCCGGTGAGTTTTTGACGATGGCTTGGTTGGCGCCATCCAATTTTAGCGTCGGCTGCGCCGTGAAAAAAGAATGACGTGCGTCCTGATATTTATGTGACCCAGAGTGCGGGTCCGCGAGAAATATGGCGACGCCGGCCAATCACGGCCTCTGGATTTCTCGGCAACTTTTTCGCCCAGTGTCCAGGATTAGGGCCCCAGATTAGAGCCCCCGAGACCTCCTTTTGTCGCCGGCGCGTCAGGGCATTGGCAAACGCTACACATTCGGCCAAAGACGCGCAAAATTACCTGCACACAAGTAAAAAAAAAATATTGGCGGTAAAGTTGTTAACGTTATCGCTAGAAAGAAACGGGGCGTACGACTATGAAGGGGCTCTCACCAACCGCTCCTGTTTCTAGCACAAAATTGTTTTGAGTCATTCGCAACGCGAGGGTCGTCAAACAGACAGGTACAACTTAAGCTTCTCTGCGTCGTAACCAAATAAATAGGTCACATTAGAATGGCAACGAGTTCGCAAATATTGTTGCTAACCATTTATATATATATATATATATATATATATTGTTTTAAATTTTGGGTTATGTCGACAGGTGCATATCTACACACTATTTCAGACCATAGAGTTATTATAATGTACGCTAGAGGTTGAACTGGCGCTAGTGTCTATGCGACTTCCGTGACGCAAATTGAAGCAGACAGCAACCAGTCTACTTTTGCGGTGCTGCTGTGCATTCCTATGGGAAAACGAGCGTGCATTTTGTCTCTTCACCGGAAAATAACATGGAACACTTTGGTTATTTCGGTCGTACCGAATAGTATGTGTCTCAGTTAACATTGTAAAAGTGTAATTGCTTTAGTTAGCGCATTTTTCTTCATCAGTGAGCGATGTTTAACTTCGCTACATTTCAGTCCCAAACGTGTGTTCCGCAGCAGGTGTGTAAAAACAAGCGACGATTCAAATCAAAATTACGATCGAAACGAATATAGAGTGTGTTCAAGGCTCGCCAGCATTTCGGTGACGCTTGTATATTGATAATATGCCAGTCCTATCACCATATGAAAATGATCCCGTCGTGGCATGAGTGGATAAAAACCTTCAACGTAGAGAATAAAGTCCGTGGGATATGAAAGGTGTCATCTTCGTATTGTTTTCTCTGCCGGGCAGCTTTTATCGCGCACTTGTTCTCAAAGATGTCTAGCGCGCGGGTGATATTTTGAACGTAGAACACGCGCAGCTTCACTCAGGACAGAAAGAATAAAGCGGTACTCACTTATTTAAAATCGGAATAGATTACGTGGCATTCAATTTATTTTGATCGTACATGCACTTCGAGTTACTGATCCGGTGTTGCTGCGTAATTCTTGCCGCCGCTCTTGATTTTCCAGATGTCCTTCGTTCGTTTGGCATGTATATCCCCCATGCTGGAAATCGCCGACGCCGCATTCGCGCTAACAGTGTCCGACAGTGCACATAAATACACGTACGAAGCGGTTTTAGCACCGTTTTTAGTGCGATGAATTCGAGAGAAAAACGCGTAACTGACCAATTTTTTCGTCGGCCTGACTGAGAAATGTTCCAAACTACCTAGTACGTACGAATTATTTGGGATATTTGCTCTTATGATCGAGCGCAGGGAGAAAATGCACTCACTTTTTCCCATAGAAATGCATTACCGGAAGTCAATTTTCGACTGGTTGCTGTCTGCTTCAATTTGCGTCAGCACACTAGCGCCACTTGAACCTCTAGCGTACATTATAATAACTCTATGTTTCAGACGAAGACCGGGCGCAAGCTGAGCCACGATCCAGCGGAGCTATACACGTTTGCAAGTCCGGTCTCAGGGCGCCGCCATCTTCCTCAGTGGGGTGCGCTCTCGGGAGCGGCCATAATCCGATTACGACGCCTTAGCAAGGCTTCGTAATCGGATTATGACTGGTCCAAGGGCACCCCAGACAGGCAAGATGGCAGCTCCCTGAAGCCGGACTTGCAAACGTGTATACACCTTTCCAAAAAACACTCGACCCCAGGGGCAACAAACCGTTTGTGAGCCCAGTCACTGAGTTTGAGGCTAGACTCTCACCGGCGTCCCTCTTAACCCTAACCGAGTGGACTGTGATTTCAATAGGCGCAGCCTGCGTAGGTGCAGTTTCAAACGCTGCTGGCGGCTAAATTCTCGTCTTTTCCCGCTATATTTTGTGTTTCATGGTACATGTATTTTCCCGAGGACATTGAGAAAGCATTGTGCCACATTTAAAAAAACAAAAAAAGTTAAAAAAAAAATCTAAACTATTTTTGTTGGGTACACGCGCGACAGAACGAATGCGACTGGAATGAATAGTTCTGGTTATTTGTTTTTTTTTCTTGCGATAAGCTTTGACGGTACCGCGGGATTCGCCGCATGTGAAACGACAAAGGGCTTTGCTGTCAAAAATAAATTGCAACAGAAGAGGGCCGAAAGTCATGCATTTTTCACGCTCACAAATAACGTGTTTACCGATGGACAGGACACGGACATACAATTGAGGAAGTGTTAACATTCGTACGTACCACACGATGCAGCGTTATCCGAAACGAATTTATTTGAGAAAGATCTCAAATAACACAGTCACAGTCGACGACAGTCACATCTTGACGATCGGACGGAATCCGGGATGACTTCGTTTTGGGGCCGGTTTTGGGGAGAGCTTCCTTTTTTCACAACCGCACCAAGGCAAAGAAACAAACGCGACTGACCCGTTTCTCACCCCAACCCGGACAACTATTTTTGGAGATGACTGCGGATTCTACACGGATTATCTTTGGGAGGGGGGAGAACAATGTTCGCAAAATCCCGTCGAGGGTCGTTCGACGTCCTTCACCTCCTTCGTTTTCCGTGAATGTCGAGCAGAAAACCTTGAATGGCAGGCACTTACCAGCCTTATTTCTCACAATGGAAGATAACACAAAAAGGGTACGCAGCACGCATAAAAAAAATTAAGTGGAAACCTTCAAGAGGGGCGAGAAAACGTCGAATGCAAAACCGCAAAAACGTAGGTAGAGAACCGCGCTGAGCGGCTCTTCACAGTCCCAGAGAGTGGCAGAAAATTTCTAGCTGATAGAGGGCGCGAGAGTCGCACCAGCCGCATCAGCATCAGCAACATGGCGGCGGCCTAGGAGCGGTTTTTGGAAAGGTGTATACTCCGCGACAACTTTTCTTGGCAATGCGGTGGAAGGTACAGGCCCGCGTCCCCTCTCCCATTTTGAGTGTACGCAGGCTCTCCTCCTCCCCCATTTCCGGGGAGAGGAGGAGAGCCTGCGTACACTCAATATGGGAGGGGGGACGCGGGACGTACCTTCCACTGCATTGCCAAGAAAAGTTGTCGCGGAGTATAATCAACCAGTATCAAAAGTGCACCGTCACGGCGCGCTCGCCGTCTGTGTGCGTTTGTATGTATCAGCTAAACACAGTCACACACGGGCGAATACGCCTCGATACTGCGCCTGCGCGATTTTATCTGTGCGTGAATGGTACAGCTGGCGACGGCAGAGGCCTGAAGACGACGAGCACTGTGACGATGCATTTTTTTGGCGCGGCTGCGCCCCGACTTTGCGTGCAACTGAGTATAGACATCTTTCTCCTCAGTGAGGAAAAGAATCTACCGCTCAAGTCGGTACGTGTCGTTGCTGCGTGTGCTCCAGTCTGCGACGCTAGCGGCAACGAAAAAGACGCTTTCTCTGGTTTTCGCCCATGTCCAAATAAGACTCATCCGCAAGCAAATAGCACCTCAATCCGCAGGAAAAAAAAAAAATACAGTGCCCCTACACTTCTCCCGGCGATCTGTTGTAATTCAGGACAAAAGCAACGAGCCGCCCATACCAAGGTGAGCAACTTTATTACACGCGTTTTAATATCGACATAAATAAGCTTTTTTTTTGGGGGGGGGGGGGGGGGGGATGGGGGATGCTTTTCGTGCTTAGAAGAGGCCACCGCCGAGGTTGACGTTCAGGCCGCCTCGATAACCGCCGAGACCTCCGCCGTATCCTCCGAGCCCAGGGCCGTATCCTCCGAGTCCTCCACCGTAGCCTCCCAGTCCACCGCCGTATCCACCGAGTCCTCCGTAGGGCAAACCGCCAGCCAATCCCAGTCCGCCTCCCAACCTACAGCAGGTGCCCACAGTAGCGCAACACCTCCTGAGCAAACAAAGAAAGAAGAAAATGAAGTGGTTAGCACAAAATGTTCTCGGAGCTCTTACTATCCACGTTCTCGCTTCGCCAAGCCTTCCTTCCGTCTGCTGAACGAGTTGAAATTTGTTTAGCGCTTTGAGTCTCCCTGTAATTCACTGTTCTCAGGGTCTTCTTTTGATGACGCTCAGCTAGTTTCTAAATGGAACTATATATGTTTATTCTCACTGATTAAAGATGTAATTAGTTAAATCTTAGATAACCATTGCTAATTAGTTTTTTTTTTGTAATTCCTGACGTGTACATTTTATTCCCGAAAAAGTTTTTCCCTAAAACACCGTAGTCTTAGAAATTTCTTAAAGCCTTCGTAGGAACACCAGGTATATGAGAAGGCACGAGAGATGAAAAAAAGAACTAAACAATGACTTCCCTCAAAAATACAAAAAAAATCTTTAGAAAAATAAATAAACGCTTGATTTACGGCTGTTAAAGTGCAACACTGAATCGTTACGCGACACCTAAGTGAGCATTATATCACACTCTTAAAAAGACTTTTATGTGCTACCTGATGGCACTTCGGAAATGCACTCGCGCGCATCAATGCTGTGGATCTCCCTGTTCGACACAAGTCATAAATAACAAACAAAAGGACAAAAAAAAAGGAAAGAAAGACAATGACAGATCCGTAAGCTTCTCTTAATGCATCTAGGCTCACCTGGCTGTCATGAAATTGAGTGTGGCGCAGTTGCAGCCGTAGGAGCCTCCACCGACCCGACCGCCGTTGATCACCACGTGGGCTTGGCAGCAAACGAGCACGAGGCTCAACGCGATCGCACTGGTGATAAGGGTGGTCTTCATCGCTGCTGCAAAGGAGGAAGTAACAGCATCGGTGAAATAGGGCTCTAAAAACACGCACATACTTAAAGAAAGAAGACAAATTGTGTGTATATGAAAACACGGAGAGATGATTTTTTTGTTGTTTTTTTAAGAATGGGAAATTGTGTTTACACTTATCAAGCAAAATAGCGATATGAATGATTACCGCCATGTAATAGCATTGCTGAAGGTGAAGTTTAATCAACAGCTTCGGCGAGAGACTCGGCTTCGTGAGGATATATATATATATAATTTTTTAATATTAAGTTTTAGAGCCTGGTTTCAATTAGATCTTGCTGGGCATCATCGAAAAACAATAAATCAACAAATTGCAGGAAGATAGAAGGCACGCGAGGTGTTTTCCGGCTTCCTGAAAAGACGCAGTTTCACGGGATTTTTAAGCTTAGGTTTGCAGTGGGAGAAATAGTGCAACCAGCCTCTGCTGCCTTGCGCGAGGACAGCGCTTCAGGGGTTGGTTCCACTATGTCTCCACGGGGTGCGGTGCCGTCGGTGCCGAGAAGTGCTCCGATGGCACACCGAAATTTCAAAACCTGTCGAAATTCTGCGGTTTTTCAGAAAGTCGTAAAATACCGTGCGTGCCTACTATCATTCTAGAATTTGTTTATGTTTTTCGATGATGCCCAGCAAGATTCTAAATGAAACCATGCCCCTAAATTCAATATTAAAAAAAAAAAATTAATTACGCGAAAATAATGAACAATTTAATTATCTCGAACTTCAATGATTTTCCTAAATAGGCCCCTGGCCTAAGATCAAAACGACACAAGCCTTTTTTTGGTGCGATGAGTAGTTCTCGCAATATCGAATTTGTCCACCTTTCGTGAAACACCCTGTATATATCCGTACTTCGAACCTTCTCGTGGAGTTTTATCACATATTGGTCGACGTTTCGGACTGAGTCAGGCCTGTACGTTTAACTATAGACCGTTTTACTGAAAGAGGGCGAGAGAGAAAAGGGAAAGGGGCTACTGGCGCTTTCCCCCTTTCTGATTGTGTAGGAAGAGTAAAAGTCCCGGATGAGAGGCTTGGCCGGTGTTGGGTGTCTGCTGTGCCCCAACTTCGTTCGCGCTTTCTTTTCTGTTTTGAACTCCGCAAACTTAATTAGAGTAACGGGCTTCGATGGCAACAGTTCCCCGGTCATCGGGACACCATTGCTCGGTCATAGGGTGCACGAATAACGACAGAAAGCGTCGCATACTGTCCGAGGACCTATGTAGAATACAATGAATCCGGCAAGGCGAGAGCGGCTGCAATGTCTTTAAGCTCCATCGCTTTCCACATGACCCCGGTCTTGGCGGCAGTGGGTTGCGTTCGTAAACCGAAAAGACATTTCCTGAACACCATCTTCTCGACTGTGCTCGGAACAGCTTGTGAATGGAGCGCGCACCGAACGCTGTACCGCCGATGAACATGGGGTATACGCTCGCAAGGTGCGTGCCAGTTTTCTCGTGATAATTGCTGTTTCAGCTTGTAAAATTTTGTAACTGAATTTATCTCAATATGGATAATTTGCAGTTGTGACTGGCTCGATTTCATCATTTCCAACACTTAGTTGAAGGCTTATTTCCGCCGCCGGGTGAGGCTAGAAATTGTTGAAAAGGTAGTTCTATCGGTTTTCCTGAATAGCGATCCCCTCTTGGAGTGCCGCTGGTGGGTTTTTTGGGTTGTTTTCGTTGATTGGACGCTTTGAAGCGCTGGATAGTCGCTCCAGGGCACGACTCGTGTGTTGCGATCTGCGTCTTCGAGCACAGTGTGTACGTTTCTATGTTCGAGTCATGGCATCCGCCAGTGCGGCAACGGGGGGAACAGCGGCAGCGAACGTGTCAGTGATAGAAATTGGAGGTTAGTACTCAAAATATTGCATCAAATAGTAAAATAATCCGTGGCTGCTTTGACGCTTTCTGCGGTTCGATATAAGCACATCTAGAACGTCTTCGTCGTTCATCCACAATGAAATATGAGAACACGGACACGCAAGATAAAAGTAGCGCCGCAAAACGATAGGTAGCAGCTCCGGGTGTTTACAAAAGTTAATTAAGGTTCCCGTTTCGTGTATCGCTTGTTCATTACTTAAAACGGCTGCGTTGAAATGGGCCTATTGCAAACAAAAATTTATGAATGGTTCATCATTTCCAGTCACGCGGAAAGCGGTGGAGCTTCAAAACATTGCAGCCACACGTGCCTTGACGAATTCCATCCAAGCTACGGGGTCCTTGGGCGGTATTCGACGCTTTCTGTCGTGATTCGTGCACCCTATGACCGAGCGATGGTGTCCCGATGACCGGGGGACTGTTGCCATCAAAGCCCGTGGCTCTAATTAAGTTTGTGAGTCTAAAACAGAAAAGAAAGCGCGAAAGAAGTTGGGGCACAGCAGACACCCAACACCGGCCAAGCCTCTCATCCGGGACTTTTACTGTTTCTACACAATCAGAAAGGGGGAAAGCGCCGGTAGCCCTTTCTCCTTTTCTCTCTCGCTCTCAAAATGGCGCTACCCACGATAAAACGGTCTATAGGGGGCGCTTTGAAAGACGCGCGCAGCGCCACTAGCGGAGGAGCTGGCGTTCGACTGTGAGGCGCGTTCAGCAGCCTGCGGCGCCTTTTCGCATGCCAAACTGTGGCGGCGGAAGCGCGCGCGGACGAAACTTTTGCTTTTTGAGCCGATAAGTTGAGGGTGACGTTGCATGAGTGCTGGGGCAGAAGGGCATTTAGCTGTTCTCCACTTCTTATATATTGAGTTTGAGTCGTTATTAGGGGTAATTTCTCTAGTTGCAGCCGAAAAAGGAGTTGGAGCAATTTTCCGAAACACAAGACGGCCGCCACCATAATTGCTCTGAGTGGGAAATTTGTTTCGCTCGTCGCTGTAAACCTAGGACTGCTGGAACGATGATATTTGGAGGCGAGTGAGATGTTCACTAAGTTTGTGCACGAAGAATGCCAAGTTTCTTTGAGACAGCAGGTGTGAAAGTTATGTTTCTCACGAATAAAGAAATAAAGCTGTACATCCCGTACAGCTTTATTGGACCCAAAATGTTGTGTTATAGCGGGCTGTGCAAAGTGCAGATTTGGGCACACAGGTGCTTGGACTTGACAGTAACATGACACAGCACTTAGTATGCAAAAAGAAAAAGGTGGCATAGGGAAACCAGGTGAAAATTTGGTTTGGGCGGCATAACTCAATGGGAACCGGTTTTGACCATGAATAGGCTGTCAAGAGAATACCACTGATTGTGGGAGGTGGAGACTTTACAGGTAGGAAGGGACTGGTGGACTGTACTTCCAATTGAAATAACTTTACGGAAGGTGGTTCCAAAGCCGAGAAAACAAAGCTGTCGGCCAACACACGGTTTGGCCGCCAAGGGCTTTTGCGGTCAGCTGTTGTGTAATAACCTGTTGTGCGAGGTGCTGATTTTTGGCGCACAGGTACTTTAACATGACCGTCACTTGGCACAACACTTATTATAACAAAAAGAGTTGGCATAGCGAAACCAGGTGGAAATTTAGTTTGGGCGGCGTAACTAAATGGGAACCAGTTTTGACCGTCAAAGGCTGTCAAGATAATACCACTCATCGTGGGAGGTGCACACTTTACTGGTAAAGAGGGACCAGTGGACGGTACTTCCAGTTCAAACCACTTTGCGATAGGTGGCTTTAACGCCGAGAAAAAAAAATTGTTGTCTACAGAACTCAGGGTGTCAGCGTTTTCACATCCAAAAGAAACCGATCCAGAAAGAAAGCACACCACATAAACTTCCATACTCAAACGTCGATTCTCCAGTGATCCCGAGTTTCATTGTTGTTTTTTTTAGATTTATATTTGTCACTTTTTTTACCGTTCGAATCTTTCTTTATGAAGTACAGATTGCGTGCCATACTTGTCCGGAAATATCAATGACACGTACGAGGGACGAAACTTCTTTGGAGGGCATTCCTCCAACGAAATTGGCACTTCATACCCGCGAGTGTGGGATGGCATTTCAGTTCGTCCCATCGGCGCTTACACATGTAGGCGTTACTGGTACGAAAACAAACGCAGAGCGCAAAGCGGCAGAGTAGAATATGTCAGCCGTGATGACACATGTGGCAGACATGATCGGGAGACCAAATTTCTCGCGTCGTACGGCACGGCTCCATCGTTGTCGCTGTCCCAGAAAACATCGGCGAGGTGAAAAACTGTGAAACTTTGTCTCCACGAGATACGACGCATAACTATTGAAGCACTTAATGACGCAGCACAGGCAGCACTTCATGCTGTGAACCCAGCGCAACCGCACCACTCCGACTTCAATGCGTACCAACGTACGCCGACGTGGTTTCGGTTTCGTTTTCTCCAGGGTTCTCACTGCCTACCTTCGCTACCGGCCGCGAGGCGGCGCGCCAGTCGCGTCGCACGGAGTGTATAGGTGACATTCACTTGACGTCACTCGCTAGGTTCGCTGGCATCGGCCACCACGGTCGCCATCTTTGAGGTCTCTTTCTACCGCACGTAGGTGTCGGGTGCCGTCTGGCCGGACCTTTCAGCGTGGGTTAACAGCGTTTTACAACTCTAAAGTCGCTTATGGCCAGAACATCCATTGGGTCAGAACATCCATCGAGTCAAAACATCCAAGATGTCACGTGACACCAGAGTCAGAACATCCAACGAGTCAAAACATCCATCCGAGTCGAAACATCCATCAAGTCAAAACATCCATCGAGTCAGAACATCCATCCGTGTTTAAACATCCATCGAGTCTAGACATCCATCGAGTCAGAACATCCATCAGAGTCTAACATCTATCTGAGTCAAAACATCCATCGAGTCAGAACATCCATTAGAGTCAAAACTTCCATCTGATTCAAAGCATTATTATTTAAGTTTAAAAAAAAAAGAAAAAAAAATATATATATAACTTTTTGCCGGCTCGAGGCTGCGAATTTTGCCAAGTGTCAGTTTCGGCGACACACTTGATCAACCAATTAGGTCAAT